TGCAGCACGCCAATTAGATGATGAACGTCAGTGATCATCCCGAGGCTGTTGCGATATGGCTCGGAGCGCACGGAAGCGCTAGATCTGGATACCGGCGAATAGCAATGCGGGCGAGGCAGTGCATCCTGCGTTAGGACACTGACCCAAGGAACCTGCTGGGCGAACCAAATCAGGATGCACCTGGGCGTCCATGTCCGGAAACCCACTTAGGAGGAAGCACCAGTAAGTACTCCGAGGAAGCTAAAGAGCAGTCAGATGGGGACTTCGATGGACCAATCAATCAGATTCAAGCTAGGCTTCCGGCCGCAGACCTACCGGCCACCTGATTCCTGGATTTCTATGCAAGCCAGAAGAAGCGTGGAGCCCATAGAGCAGCAAGGTCGTCAGCTGAGAAAAGGCCGGCGCTCTTGACTTGCGGTTTCTCTTAGATTGACGCAGTTTGACATGCTTCATCCATGAGTGGCTCCAGAGCAAGTGCCCTGTTCCTGTAGAGTAGCATGGCGGAGGCTTGCGCAAGGTCGTTCCCGGGACCAAGCTCAGTATCCCGTGTGATACGCGCGGCAGCAATAAGAGCCATCAGGGTGGCCATCGCTTTCTCCGGCAGCTTGCGCAGCCAGCCTACAGACTGGCTTGGCGCTTTGATCCTGAGGACCTTTTTGACAAATGTCATAGGGCTGCAAGAGAACCGGATAGTGTGGTCAGCAACTGTGCCATTATTCAGCCGTCTGACAGGTGTGTAGAACGGAGAGCCGTAGAAGCAGTGCAATACGCAGCCTCACTCATCCCAAGCTAGTGGAAAGGCCCCGCTCACGCAGCCCACAGGCACATCTCCAAGTGGTGGAGGTCTCAGACTCGGTGGAGACCAAGTCTCAGCTCCCGCGTTGCAGCAGCCAGATAAGCCCGCGCAGCCCTTTGAACACATCACTTACATTGCAGTGTCAAGGCCAAGAAGGCCAGGGAAGTCCTGGCAAGACTGCCTTCATCCGCACGCCTGTTCTTGGACGTCTTCGCGGGCTTTCATGCCCTAGTGACCACAGCCGTAGCAGCCCTCGGTCTGGACCAATTTCAGCCCTTTGACTTGGATGCAGATTCAGCCTTTGACATCCTGCGTGACCCCACCTTTGAATTGCAGCCCCCTTCGCGCTTCCGTGCAAAGAGCAGAGGTGGTATTGCCACCGTGGAGCAGCCCCCGCGTAGTATGGTTGGAGCCAATGCCTACACTCAAGAAGTTTAGGTGCCACGTAGCCTGGATCGATGCTTGCATGTATGACATGCCCTTCAAAAAGTCCTGGGCATTTGCGAGCACCTTGGAAGACATACGCTTCCCCTCCCAGTGCAGCCCTCGCCTAAAATCACCACCCTGGGACACAAAGCCCTGCCCCTTCAAGAGTGGGCCTGCCTTCAGCCAGCGCAACGCGAGTCACCCGAGTCTCTGCCTCGAGCCCCCGTGTGTGATGGCGCAGGCCGTCGCAGCCCGGCAGATTGCACACTCCCTAACCCCTCAAGCCCGCTCAAAGATCTTTCAGTCAAGCTGTCCCACTGGCTGCAGAGCTCACTCAGGCTTCAGAGCCTCCATCGCAGCTCACATAATCCAGCAAAAGCCTGACTGCCCTCTCTCGGAGGCACAGGAACAAGCAGCCTCTTATCAATCATCATTAACAGCCTCAGCCTTGGCAATCCCCAAAACCTCGCCGAAGTAGAGCAAGAACAGCCGCTTCGCCGTAACCTCCTTCAGGCCCAGGCCACGCACATTGGAGACAAGGACGTAGCCTTGGTACCCATGCTCAAAGCGGGTGTCTCTACAGGAGTACACGAGCCTATACCCTCCAACTTTCAGTGGCCCAAAAAGGCTCAGCCCCGCCAAGACTTCATGCCCTTAGAAATGTGTGAGTGCAATTGGTCGGCAGCAAAGCCAGGCCATCTGTGGTTCAAGCCCTCATCAACAAGGAAATAGATGCAGGTTGGGTTCAGCACATTCCAGGCGGGAGACAGACAGCTCAGGCCCGCTGGCCTTCAGCCACGGCGGTTGTCAAACTTCGGAAAAGACCCGCCGCGCCTCGCACTAGACAGCGCAGTCTGTCAGGCTAACCCTAATTGCAGCCTCCCCAAAGCCGTTCAACTGCCCACGGTATCGGATGTCTGCTTCTCCTTTCAGCCCTCAGACCCTTGCAGCATGTGGATAGGGGCAAGCCTGGACTTCAACGCAGCCCACAAGCAAGTGAAAGTCAGGGAGCAGGACTCCGCAGGACCAAGGCATGCTCTTGTTCGAGTTTGCGGATCAGCTCTACGGCTACGTGACTTTTTTGCTAGACAAGAGGGCTTGGATTTGGTCGGCTAGCTTGGCCAGCTTGTCTGGCTCAAGGCTTACCGTCTCCGAGCGGAAGTTAAACTTCCACCCGCACCAGAGGGCAGGAGGCTATGGGCGAGGCGAAGTAGCCCTGCCACCAGTATGCTGAGAAGCGGGCTCCGAAGCTGCTCAACTGGGCAACCTCCATCAGCCACCGCCTCAGGTCGTACACGGCCCCACTTTATTCGGACCTCAACAGCCCGCCAGGCACTCTTTACAATATCCCCGCACGCATGTGGCAGCGATTCCTTTTCAGTCACTAGGACCATTCCAGGCCTCCGCTTTGCGCCTCTGCACGTGTCATAGAAGTGGGCAGCCACAAAGTCGGCAGGAAGTCCGACGTGCGACGTGCCCCTCCTGCCTAGCTCGGACAGACTCACATGGGATAGAATAGCAGATCCTACAGCCTCCGAGATAGCCCTCACCAAAGACAGCAAAAAGTCCTTGGCGTGGCTGCTGTCGTGCGTGCAGCCAAACTGCGCTGGTTCTCTGAAGTCTGGTCAATGTCCCAGGTACGCGACGTCTGGCCGCAGCTTCGCAAAGACGCTCAGAAGTACATAGCCTGCTTCGAAACACTGGCACAGCTAGCCCTCCTACAGATGGCGCGCAGCCGCCTTGACCACAAGTACCTCTCTTTCGCCGTGCCCGCGGGATCAGACGACACTCCCACTGAAGCGGGAGTCAACAAGCTCTTTTCCACAGCCTGGCCTCTCAGCCTCTTTCTTCGCCTAGTGGCCTCCTGGTCTCACGCCCACTCTGTAGCCTTGTTAGTCTCCCACGTGTCCGGAACGGGGAACGTGTGAGCTGATGAGCTCCGTAGAGGCGAGCTCGACGGGTTTCGCTCCGGGCCTTTAGCCCGCTTCAGCTTCACGCTTGGCCAGCTCTGCCAGCTGGAAGGCATCACTTTGCATCCCCCACACGCAAGATGGAGGGAAAATCTTGCGGACTCAGTCTCTTGAACAGCACCCTCGCGAGCCTCAATTGTGCCCGGCAATCGCAAATAGACTGCTGCCAACGCGGCCTGGCCTAGCCGCTAGCACAGCCTGCAACCAGCTGGAAGTGCCTGCGCACCTGTCAGGTCTCCCTCTCACCTGCTTAGGCAAGCCTAGCCTTCATGCGGCCGCAGCCTCAGTTTAGTTCCTGCGCAAGCAACCCTCACGCGGAAAGGGGTTCTCGGGGCAAGCCTTATAAGAGTTTTGGAGCCACAGACTAGGCCATGTCAAAAGTATTATTTTCGCAAATATCTTGCAAATATTTTGCAAATGGTTTTGCAAATTTTTCGCGTCTATGTTTTTTTTTTTTTTTTTTTTTTTTTAAAATTATTTCGGCTTTTGCAAAAATTTTGCAAAAAAATCGCAAATATTTTGCAAATATTTTGTATTTTTTGCTGTTCTTTCTGAACTGTTGAAACAACTCTTGTGTAATGTTTGTGGGATTGTTTAATATGCAGTGTATTGATTTGTGAGCAGATTATTGATGCCTGCGTTTGTTGTTTGTGCACTGATGTGTGCGGCTGTTGGGCTTTTCTTGATGATGTCATGCTTGCGCTGACATGAATGCTAAAAGTTGTAAAAAAAAATTGGCGTGCAATGCAATCCGAAGTACAGAAGTGGTACACATGAGGTGTTGTGGGGTGACTGATGGATGGTGGGGCATGTGTTTGATCAAGATGGAGTCGCTGTTGGGTGGAGCCACCTCTGTGGATTCTGTTGTAAAGGAGCGTTGCCTTCGGCGGGACGCGCGTCTGGAAACTGCTATTGGCGCTGGTGCAGGGGTTTTGGAATTCGCAAAAAGAATTTGCAGGCCAAAGTCTGTGGCTAATGCCTGCTTGATGTTTTGCAGGTTTGTCAATGTTTGAATGATTGCTGTTGATTTCGCAAGCGCTTGATTTCGCTGCTTGACCCCGGAACCAAATTGTAATCTTACCTTTGCCACAGTTCGCAGATAAGAATGGATTTTCTGAGCAGCGGCCAATGCTAGCTGCTAACCTTAGCTAGACTGATGGCTAGCTGCAGCAGCGTAGAATCCGAGTCCAGGTTTTTTGTTTCCTGCAATGCGCGTCGCAAATTTTGTGCTTGGTAATGGGGCCCAGTGGGAATCTAGTGTTGAATCTGATTCTTCCCAGATCAGACAGCAGCTGTGTAGTGAACCACGACCTGGCAATTTCATGTCCTTGTCACCAGTCCTTTTTGGTTGGTGTGTTTTCAAGATGATTGGTGCAGTGTCAGTATTGAATGCTGTACCGGCTCAGCTGGTAGCTGGCAGCTAGGGCACTCAGTGGCGTAGTTGACAGCTATTGCAATAACTGTAGCAACTTTAGTAGCAGGCGCGTCATGCCATGACATACTCCATCCATCCTGATTGTGGTGTAGCATAGTGAGGACTGTGTGATCATCTGTGGTCAGTGCAATAACCAGCGGTCAAGCAGGAACAGTGCGTGGCAATGAGTGTATGTATTCAATTCTATGGCGCTCGGAATCTCGCACCGAAGCTGGATATTGAAGAAGGCAAGGCTCACCAGTTATCAGTACCAACAGGCCTGCATGGCTTCTCGGCTTCCCAGTGTTCGTAGCACAGTAGCAGTCAGTAGCTTTGGGGTTTGAAAGCTACTGTGATCTTAGATCCAACCTGGGATTTCGCTGTGCTCCCAGACATGGCAGACTGGGATGAGGTCCTGGGAGAGGAGCTGCAGGCTTCGCGTAGGCTAGATGAAGACATCGCAGCATGTGATGCGCAGAGAACGCCTAGCACATGTGGGTGTGATGTAGAGAGCGGTCAAGCCTTTGCTCTCCCGAACAAGCCGGCAATTTGGTCGGCGGTCTTGCTGAAGGCTGCAGGTACGCATCTGGGATACGAGGAAGCTGGTGTGTCAACCAGCCAAAGTCCAAGGCTGCAGGTCTTGTCAGGATGCACTGGCTGCAGCGCCGAGTCTTTCGTGCTGAAGGCGGGCCATGGGTCTTCCAACGTGGTAGGTACATAGGTAGGTAGGTACAGAGTACAGACTGCAAAGTTTGTTGATGATTGCACGGGTTGCGCTCAAACACACCATGCAAGTAAATTTGGGATTCTGGGCGGAGGAGACTTTCGGGTTTGTGGGCTTTGAGTGACATGTTTTGTGACTTTTTCCCCGCAGCTCCACCGATGAATAAAACCCCTAGCAGCTCCTGCTCCTATAGCGGTCCTCACGCAAAATCAAAGAATCAAATTCATAGCAACCCGACCCAAAGCTTCAAGGCATGCGTTGGAAATTCACTAAACTCACCCATACCCGACCCAGCATGGTTTCATGGGCATGCCCCAAATTTCAGTGTTTGTGTCATCCATGGGCGTGTACTGTGGTGCTGCGTGGGCCAAGTCACGAGAGTTTGAGCTGTGTGTGGTAATATACGGTGAAGCCTCAGATTTGATTTAGATAAGATGGCCGACCCATTTTCTCTGTGATGCATGGGTTTCTTTCAATGGTTGCAAATGATCTAACGCGAATTGTTGCTAGTGCTAGTGACTGCTAGTGATTGCTAGTGATAACGACTAGATGGGAATAGCAGAACAGCAGCTAAGGACAGGTACTTTGGCTGTTGTCTGTCAGCTGGTAGCTGCTGGTGTCACTAGCCGCTAGCCTATATAGTGACTCTTAACTGCGATTTTGGTAGTGCCTTTCTGAGTTGTCTCGGGCAGTTCGAAATTATTCGGTTTGCGTATTGCAGCTGCGTCCCAAAAAAATGAGTCCAGACTTTGACGCACGGCCATGGTTGCTCTGCGACTACATTGACTACATGTAACTACATCATGCAGATTGTTTGCCAGCGCCCGAAGCTTCAGGGAGCTAGCCAGCAGCTTGTGTTCAGGCTCTACAAAGGCTCTACTAAGGCCCCATGCGCGTGTGGGTGTTCGGTTTGTAGGTCTGACGTATGGAAAACCTGGTTGGCGGTTGGCCTGGGGCCATATTTGTTCGATTTACAGACTTAAAGTTCTAAGTATCCTAGGTCCTCGACTCTAGACGCTAGAATCGCTAGAATCTGCTCGCATTCTTGGCTTCTGGAAGCTTCAGACCATGGTTTGTTCAAGGTTCAGATTTGTTCCAGTCAGGGTCCATGCTTAAAGTTGGAGTTGGAGTGGGCCCTTCTATCAGTCGCATACTTCTGGCCTCGTGTACTTGACTGGTCTGTTAAACTCTGTCAGTCCCATTAACAACAACAGCCCTCCATGTGTTCTGGCGACTCCCACATCCATGTGTCATGCGAGCGTTGCTGAAATCCTGAAACCCTTGCATCAGGTCTCGATCCGCGCAGCCCGGAACACCTCACCGACTTCCCGACTACACATTACATTCTATACCACCAGCCTGCTTACAAATCTGATCTTCAAAGCGCAGCAATGCTTTTTTTTTCCCATGTCTTCGAAATCAATGGTGGGATATTGGAGAGTTGTATGTGTACTGAAGCTGATTCTTGGCTAGCAGGGTGTACAGTCTATGTCGAATTAAGTCTTACCTTTACTACTTACCTGGACGGACCTACCTGCTAAACAACTAAAGTACTAAAGTACTATATTCTCATATTATGTCACTCATACCTCACGCCCACACTTGCTTGGCAGGGCCTCCGTATCGACTTTGACATCCTGTCTGCGTCCGAGAGCAATCCTGAGTGCCAGAAGTTCATTATTGCCAACCATTCCGAGCACTTTAAGCATCTGCGTGAAACAGTGGAGAAGCAATTGCAGCCCGCCGGGCCATGTGTGATTTGTGCCAAGACTGGGAAAGCGTGTGAGGACTTCAATGGTCAGGTTCGGCGTCAGGCAGATGTCATGGTGACGGGGTCGCCGTGCGATCCTTTTTCAGTGCAAAGATCCAAGCGGTTCCAGTGCGGTGCAGTCAAAGATCATGTTGCCTACCGTGTAACGATGTCTTCGGTGATTAACATGTACGTCAAGCATGAACCCCACGTCGGGGTTCTTGAACAAGTACTTGGATTCACATATCCTCTGGGCACTACAACTGATGAGACGCCGTACCAGAGGCCGGGGCCAGCCAGGGTTTTGCTTGTGTGATGCCACATTTTTTGCAGCTGAATTTGCAGTGTGCAGTATAGTATAGAGGATTGAGTATTATTCTTGCAGCAGCTCACAGTTCGTAAGCTTGTTGCTGGAGCAGTGAGCAGTGTATCCTTTGGCAACGTTGAAGCGCATGGTTCATGAATGGTTTGGTGTTGCCGAGTTGCGTGGGAAAACGTCAGACTCCAGATGGTTAGAAGTCGGTAGTGAATCATGAAGCAAATTTGTCACTGGCAGTGCTGCAGTACTGTGTGGATAGTCAAGTAGCTAATTGGTCGCAGGTTTCTTCAGCTCTTTGCTGAAGCCCCGCTGCAGCATGGTGGCTACTACGTGGTCAAGATTGTGCTGGACGCGAAGATTTGGCTTCGCATTTCTAGACCGAGGCGCCACTGTCACTATTGGTCTGGGATGATGTATTAAGAGCAGAGCTTGCTCAGGATGTGCCCATTTTTCAGGGGTCCAGTGACAACACTTTCACAGCTGCTGCGGAGCCCACAGTGGGTTTGAATCCCTTGAAACGTGGTCGAGGGCGACCGCGTGCTGTGACAAATTCCGTGCGTGATGATTATAGTTTGGGTCCAGACTCGCAGGAGGATGGTGCTGAGGCTGATGGTGGTGGTGCTGCAGCCAACATGGAGCTTGTGAGGGCCATGAGAAATTCCAGTTCTGTTCAAACCCTCAGCCCTTCAGGCGCAAACAGCGAAGACATTGTGGTGCCATACGGCCCCAAATCTCTTTTGTCAGCTTTGGGTTCCATGGTTCAGAGGACTTTTGGATCAGGTGTCTTAGCAGTTTGGGGCCAGTTGTCCAAGTTGAAGCAGGCCACCGCTGTGCAGGATGTCCCACAAGACACAGTTGTTGCCCACATACTGGAAGGCGATGTTTTGACGTGCTCCTCCAGTTCTGTTGCCAAAGTGACAGGTTCTACACGCAAAGTCGTGCAAAACACCTTGCTTGCCACAGGCTCAGCAACCCTGGAAGGGGCAGGTTTGCTTTGGAGCGTCATGTTGACTTCCCTCGGCCAAGTGCAGAGAGCAACAGCCAACATGAAGCCATTGATGTTTTGTGTCAATGTCAAGTTCGACGAAACGCCGACGAAAGTTCGTGTGGCCACGTTGGATGCTGACAGCGCAGACTCAAACTTGCTCAACACACATGGCCAGCACATTTTGGTGCCGAGGGCAGCAAGTTCTGGGCAGCATTTACAAAGGTATCTGCAGCTTCTCAGTGTGGCTCCCAAGGTTGCTCCCCAGAGTGCAACTCATGCAAAAGTGTTGCAAACTGAGATCCAGCTGGGCCTCCTTTACCAAACTTTGAGTCCGGGTGGAGACAAGAAGCATCTTTGGCTGACAGGAACTGTCCCATGTGCCTTGCAGGCCATGGACCGCTCCACTGGCGAGGCCCAACTGAGCTGTGTGTTAGAAAACCTTGCCGTGGTCCCAGAACTTCGTCGCCTTTCTGAAGACTTCCCGCTGCAGATCCGTACTGTGACAACAGACAAGTATGGGGCAAATGCTCGAACCGAAGAAGGCATTCGAGGGGCATACCCATCTTTTGTTTCAACGCACCTTGCGTGCGATGTCCACAGATGCTCCAATGCCATTAACAACATGCTGAAGATGGATGCCTGCAAGAATGACATGTCAGGACTATTAAATTCTTCGCTTGCCCTCTCATTTCAGGCCATGCATGGAACAAGAAGCAGCAGGCGCTTGCAGCAAATGGTCAGGCACGATCCTGGCGCATCTTGGAAGCCGCCAGAGGTGAAGACGTCAACTTGTGCATGAGGGTGTTGTTATCCATAGTCCTTCAGCCAATCAGGGCTGCCAAGGAGGAGGCAGTGGCCTGTTGTCATCGGCTGCAGAGGTTTGCCATGGTGTCTGCTGGTGTCTGCGCTCTGCATTCGTACTTGCGAATGCCCCGGGAGGGCTTGCCGTATCAACTTTTCAAGCTTCTGTCCGATGCTTCCCCGGATTTGGTGGATTCTTTGTTGAAGCGACCAGCTTGCGTGAGAGATGAGCTGAGCCACATGCTCATCACACGGTATGACCAGCAGTTGAGGGAAGCAGAGGGCTTGGCGGTGCTGGAAGGACTAGCTGAGATCATCAGTGTGGATGTTGCAAACATCGAGGCTGGTCATTCCACGGCTCGCGAATTCGCGAACCTGAGGAGTCGGGGGTGGACATCCTCTTTGGAAAGCATATGTAGCCGCTTCATACTGCAACAGTCTAGGCAAGGCGGACAACAAGAAGAACAAGGAGAAGCCAGTCAAGAAGAAAAAAGGTGGGGGTGGGCCATGGAGGGCGTTCCTGCATGTCCATCTGCGTGGCCGCAAACTCACGCCCGAACTGGCCGCTGAGATGGCGGCAGCGTACAAGGATCTGTCCGATGAGGAGCGACGTGTGTATGAGGAGTCTGGGCAGGCTGCAACAAGGGCGCACAAGATGGGTTTGCCATCATTCCCTCCGGTGAGGGCTGCCATAGCGCCTCAGATTCAATTTCCTGGTCCTGGACAGGAGGCTGCTAACGGTGCCATGGTGGCTGCAGACATGGATGCGGACTTGCTGGCGGTCGCAGACTTCACAGGTGATACCCTTGCAGAAAAGTTTGGCAGGTGCAAGGAAGAGGTGGCAAAGCAGTTAAAGGCCAAAGCGAATGCTCACTCCTTGGCGCCCACGCGTGACGAACAGATGGCGCTTGCCCGTTTTGTGGGAACGTGATGGACACTCAGACCTGGCGGCTTCAGTGACAAAGATCCCTCCTGCTCCATCGTCAACAACCACTCCTTACTCGTGGTGCCCGCCTGTCGAGAAGATCGTAACAGCTTCTTGGTCTCTGTCAGTTTGTCACACTCCAGGTTAGAATGGATAGAGGTCAGCGGTTATTGTTATTTGTACTAGCAGGTCGCGTAATGATGTGCGGCGTGTCTTCCTCCATTCAATTCCACAGTTGTTGCTAGGTTTTTGCTTGTGCAATGGTACAGACTTCTGTGCTTCTTGCGTGTGCTTAGAGTCTTAGAGACTCAGCATGGCTCACTACAAAGGTTGTAGATTCTTAAACAGTTTCAAATTATAGTAGGGTGAGAAGGGTAGGGTTATTATCCTGTCATTCCTGGGCGGTTCTTCCAGATTCCAGATGCCTGTGACTGAAGCAACTCCTGTGTGCACCATTTGTGCAACAGTGTAGCTGCTGCTGTCATATTAAATTTGCTTCTGCAGGTTTTTGCTCTCTGTACATTGGATTTCGGAGCATTGTTTCTGTCAAGATGGTATGGGATTTGCCCCGTACCAGCCTGCTAAGTAGTAAGTAGTAATTGTTCATCCTGTAGCTAAACAGCTAAGTCTAAGCTTTGCAAAAAGCTTTTCGTCGGAAGTGACTTCAGCAGCAGTTCGGTCCAGTGTAGCTGCCCGGCAATGCCCTTGAGCCCTGAGCGTGTGCTAAAGATGTAAACCCTTCTTTACGAATTCCCTTCAGTTTCATCTTTATGCCCATCCCTGAATTCCAGATTTGCGCTCAGGAGGTTTTCAGCCAGAAGCACTTGAACGTTCGACGAAAGTTTGCGCTGAATTCTTTGCTGTGCGCCAAGTTGAGACACCGCTGCAGGATGCATTTTCACGCAGAGCAACCTCCCATCAGGAACTTGCCTGGTGTGTTTAGGCCACAGCGCTGCTTCGGGCTTGGTGTTTGCGTATGTGGCAGCTCTGACCAGTCTTGCCCTGACGCTTTGCATTTTGAAGTTTCGAGCCTGGCAGCAATCCACTTTCTGGAAAAAGGAGAAGGTACCTTCAGAGATGCGGAAGCAGCTTGAGAACCAAACGGTTGTTCTTGCTTTCAGAGCTTTGCGTCCAGATCAGCAAGATGATGACTCAGGCATGGCACGTTCGCCGCCGCTTCAGCATTTTGTTCACATTGGCCACATCAACTACACAACGTGGCATTTCGTAGTTCTCAGGTTGTATTCTGACCTTGCCTTGCTTGGCTTGCCAAGCGACCTCTCCGAGGAGACAGGTGCTTTACAGGTTGGCCCCTTGCCTCCTGACTCTGCTGGTACTTCATTGGGTGTCTTGACAGACTTGCAGTTTTACCGAGATGTCTTGGACTTGACTCTGGCTTGGGAAGTGCAGCTTTTTACTGTAAGTGTTGCCGAAGGGTCTTGGCATCGCATAGATTCTTCATCTGCAGTTGTGCCGCTGGCTCCATGGCCTGAAGATGAGGTTCCTCTTTGCAAAGTCTGGCTGGGCGCTAAAGAAGAAAAAGCCAACAGGGCGCCGGCTCCCAGGAATCACAAGAAACGCGGGCCACAAGCTGCACCAGCTGCACAGGGGGAGGCCTGCAAACGTCGACGGGTGAGAGGGAAGCGGTCGGACAAAGCTTTCGACGCAAGACCTGCAGATCCTGAAAATGCTGGCTCAAATGAGTTGGGCGATGTGCGTGCGGATGCATGTAACCCATATGCTGAAGCAGACGATGAAGACACAAGCCTGTGTCCAAACTTGCTACTCGATGCTGATGAGGCTGCGGCAGAGGCTGCGCATGTGCAAATTGCAGCTGCCACAGCTGAAGTAGCAGAGCTCTGGGAGAATGCGTCGAACTTGTCTGTTGCCAGTGGGTCACAATTTTCATTGGACCCTTTGATTGAGGACGAGGAGGATGAGGCAGACTTGGGCGCCGAGAGTTTGGCCACCAATGTTGAAGAGCGTGTGGGACCTGGCATTTTCTTAGAGGAAAGGGGGCAGTTTGAGGATGAGCCCCAAGGTCTTCCTGTGCCCAGGGTCAGGGCTGGGGCCGGCGAAGCCCCATCATCAGCTTCTGCAGGACCTGCAGCTGCAGCTGGCTCTAAAGTGCCGCAGGAAAGGTTGGATTTCCAGCTGGGAGATCATGGCATTCTTCGGTTTTACAAGACCACAAAAGCGCTTGTGGCATTCTGTGGCAACCGATCTCATCATGATTGCAAGATGGAGCGCATCTGCCGTAGCCATCCCTCAGGTGCAACCTCA